GTGGCGTTGACAGGTCTTAACTTGATTGCTCTCCATCTACCCTGTCTTTTTATGACACATGGTTACTCTGGAACAGACTCTGAAGTACATTTTGGAGGCTAAACGACAGCAAGTAATGCATTTCGATATGCGAATACACTTTGCGCATTCAATGCTCGATACATCCCATGTTAACAAATTTGGCAATACCTAAAGTAGTTCTGTTGGACGAGTAGAGAACAGTTTAGACACAACTGTTTGTATGAGTTAAAACATGGTTCATTTTACTTCATATGTCATAATTTCGGCAATAAGTTACATTTGCGCGTGCGCAAGGAATTAATCAATTCCTCTTTTTTTTCGTCAAAAGTTTAAATAAAGTAAAGTCAAATAACGAATTACTAAAACGACAAAAATTTGTCGTTGCAACCTGTCATGCAAATATCCTCCAACTTCCATTTGTGTCTACAACATTTATTGCCTGTAGGCCCGTAGAAATAAAATCATGAGAGCTAAACGTGTTAGATCTTGTGATATGCAAATCAGGGAATTCGCCCCAAGTGAAGAATCAATTGTTTTCATCCAGATTAAGGTACCGCATGGATAGAACTTCCCTCTCTATTAGTGCAATAACAACAAAATGCCGCTCGTCCAATCACRTCTGAGCATATGGGTTGGGAGTGTCTTCTTGTAGGGTTGTCAAGTATCTACCAGTTAAATTGATTAAAAACCTCCAGACGGTGAAATATGAAGGTTCCCTTTTTGATTTTGGTTCTTTTAAACATAGGTAAGTTATATTTATAATATATATGTTTGATGTGTATATTTATATTTCGAAATAATTATATATTCATCGATGAATAGAAATGTGCAACGAAAGGTATGCATTGTTTACGGTTTATTGATGAAAGACAGAACGTCTTGAAAGGGTTCTATGAATGACTACTGGTTCTGTACACATGAAAATGCTTAGTAATAGTGATTTTATTTTCAAGAACTCATTTTGAAAATGAACATATCTTTGTAGAGACACTTTTTTGATATTTCATCTGGATTTGATTCACTGTAATGGCCGTTTTGAAATTAAAACATCGTCTGCTTTCAATGCAGACATGGCTATCTTATATCCATTATCTCAATAACATGGAATTATAAAATGAAGGACAAAAAAAAGAGAAGGGAAATCACGAAACAAATTTTTTGAATATCACAAGTGAACGGTCTATCCACAACCGTGATTAGTTTTGGTCACGCGTCACACAATGCTCCAAACACGCTGTGTAGGGACTACAAATGACAGGCGTTCTAGTTGTATGGCAAWGGATTCTTACTGCTTTTTCAGTAGAATATAAATCCATAGTAGTTCATTGAAGGMACATACTCGGCTTTTCCAAATACAAATATAATGTTTATAAATATAATGAAATCATGTGCAATCAAATTCAGATGCGTTATTTAGCTCATTGTAGACATGCCCCTTTGTACGATGGTACTGATGCAACTTTACCAAAAAACTTGAAAGATGACTCAATCATGAACAAGATAGAAAAGACAAACCATGGTTCGTATATAGTAATACCTTTTTTAAGTTTATGAGATTTTGATAGGGTAGTTTTGACGGGTCAATATAACTGTCAAATAATTTTGCGTAGCACGAAACAGTTCTCCTTCACGGTTTCTGCTATATCTTGAGAGGTAGCCGTRCCTATGCATCGAAGCGAGACGACCGTTGAGCTTGAAATGATAGATACCTGCAAATAGTYGTGTGGCGCAGGTGTGAAAGAAGGTTTTCATCATTGCACGCTCAACGGTTGTCTCGCTTCAATGCAAAGGCACGGACACTTTTCAAGATGGCGCAAGGARCTTAAAGGAGACTATCATGACGACGGAAGGACGTTCCAAGGTGATCATAGTGGTCCTGACACAGGACCAGGGGATGGAGAGGGGTACTCAAATGTAAGGTTACCTGACATATAGGGGCGCCAATTGATAAGACAGTAAGCAAAATAATAATTCCTCGGGTTATTCTATTCATGCCGTCCATTTTAAATGACATAAACAGGATTTAAATCATCCTTTCAGAGAACCAAATGCGAAAMCTCGTATGTAATGCATTTAATAATGTGGTATATAGTGTTTTTTTTTCTTCCTTTATATGAATATTACATTTTCGTGTAAATTTCCGAAAGGGCTTGCATAGGTAATACCGGTCAAGCCGTGTACCCATGATAAGACAAAAGAGTTAGCTAATCTCTTATCATTTTTTTCTTGTACAAAATGGCATCGCTCCAGATTTCCTATTAAATCTATCCATAGATCACATGAGTGAAAAGGACAAGAAGGATGCTCATATATTTGAGGGTGACATTGACTTGCCCTCGAATCTCGAGGAAAGCGTGGACACCAGAAACTGTAGCGAGTCAGAAAACGCCAAGGTTAAAGTGGACAGCATCACGAATAATAGTAAAAGGAAAGCAATACGAGCAAGAGTTTTTGTATGGAGATCAAGAACCGTTCCTATCGAAATAACACAGGAAGTTGGTATGTTGACAGTTACAGCTATTTCACACTTCACACTTGCTTAATTRATAATGTATGTTACAATAATTCATTGAAAAATAATAGACAATTTTGACAAGTAAACTTTTTCAAATGCGGTGGTTAACAAGGATCAGTTCYRCCTTCAACATTTTAACCCATTTTACCAAGTTTCATTATGCCCTGCAATACCATATAGTTTTTTGACAAGAACATTTGTTGGTGAGGGGTTGGTAGTTTTTCAGCCATTTTTTCAGATGAGAGAAACTTTCCTTAAAATCATCAGTAACACCTCGAAACTCACTTTTTCATTCATTAAATGTTAGCTTGAGAAGTATTTACATTTTGAGCTATTCGCCTGATTGATTTTTAATGGGATTTAGAAAGTACACGATGGCGGTACAAAATGTCGGATCCTAAGATGACGGATATTTTTGCCAAAATTGCTTGTTTTAATTTTTTTTTAACTTCAAAAACTGCTCGAATTGTAAAGTTTACCATTAAAGTCATAAAATACCGATGTATCGATGTGAATCAAAAAAACAAAAATTATTATTTCCAAGTCATTTCAATAATAAAGAGATGATATTGCAGCATTTTTTAGTGTATTGTAGGCATTTTATTAAAATGCAATA